TTTAGCTGGTCATCTCCCAGCCTGACCAGCTAAGACCAGGCTGAAAATGGAAAAAATCCCTCTAAAACCAGCTTGGTTGACCAGCTAAAACCAGCCCACCTGCCAATGCTGGTTTAAGCTGTTTTTCAGTAGGGATAACACACTTACTAAATTACTTTTATTGCATTTACTCTTAATGATTAGAGTTTTTTTTATTGTAGGTGTTATTTATTAGTACTAATGTACAATTAAAATAAAAATACTTTGATTTTAAAGTAAATCTTTGCTAAAGAAATTCAGACAACAATCTGTAGTGTGTTATTTAATATGATATCAGATGTTTTTGTATATAGAGTTTGATCATACCTGTACAGGTGCCACCCTGAAGTCTGTATCCAGTCCTGCACACACACCTAAAGCTGCCGAGTGTGTTTTCACACAGCCCGTTCTGACATGGAGAAGGTGTCTGACGGCACTCATCAATATCTGAACACAAAACACCACCCTAATTTGACCATCAGTGTGTAATTCATCGGCTCATGATCAGAGTTGAGTATAACGCATTACACTGGCCTAACTACATGCAGCGTGGCAGCACAAGCTACCAACAAACACTGCTCATGACTGGTGGGTTGAAACGAACTGTTACCTGAACAGGCTCCATTTCTCAGACCAAATCCAGGTCTGCAGGACACACACCGATACGATCCCTGAGAGTTCAAACACTCCTGACCAGGACACTGTGACGGATCTTCACACTCGTTCACATCTGAAACAACCCATGCACACAGAAACACAATCACACCGTGCATCTCCACATAGATTATTTACACTTTAAACACATTTAAGTAGATACAATTTACAAATATTTAAATAAAATAATGTATAAATAATGTTTATATATATATATATGTAAATAATTCTTAATATAAATATAATAAATAATTTCATGACCACTTTATATTCAGATATAACTGTTTGGTTTGGTTCAGACACAAGAGCATTTATTCCTCAGGCCATCACCACCTGACCATCTTTAAACCCCACATATGCACATTGCACTCAGTATATACTGTAGGAGCATTTACTTTTTCTCTATTGCTTTATACAATTGTTATTTATTAATCTTCTGCACTGTTTGTATTTTTGCACTCTGTTTCTGGAAGCTTCCATGTAGCAATAAAGCTGTTTCTGATATTTCTTACCCACACAGGTGTTGGCCTGGAGTCTGTATCCCGTCCGGCATGAGCATCTGAAGCTGCCTGCTGTGTTTTCACAGCGTCCGTCTGGACACGGAGACGGCGTCCGGCGACATTCATCAATATCTGAGCAAGAGAATTGCATTTACATATATATATATATATATATATATATATATATATATATATATATATATATATATACAGTTGAAGTTAGAATTATTACCTCTTCTCCTTAGATTTTTTTTTTTTTTTCTAATATTTCCCAAATGATGTTCAGGAATTGTCCACAGTATTTCCTATAATGTTTTATCTTCTGGAGAAAGTCTTATTTGTTTTATTTCAGCTAGAATAAAAGCAGATTTTAATATTGTAAAACCATTTTAAGGTCAATATTATTAGCCCCCTTAAGCAGTGTTTGATTTAGATTGTCTCCAGAACAAACCCCTGTTATACACTGACAAAGTTAATGGCAAAGATAAAAGAAATCAGAAATGAGTTATTAAAACTGTGGGCGAGGCAGTGGCGCAGTAGACAGTGCAGTCACCTCACAGCAAAAAGGTCGCTGGTTCGAGCCTCGGCTGGGTCAGTTGCGTTTCTGTGAGGAGTTTGCATGTTCTCAACGTGTTTGCGTGGGTTTCCTCCGGGTGCTCCCCCACAAGTCCAAAGACATGCAGTATAGTGGGAATCGGGTAGGCTAAAATTGTCCGTAGTGTGTGTGTGTGTGTGAATGAGTGTGGATGAATATTTCCCAGTGTTGGGTTGCGACTGGAAGGGCATCCGCTGCGTAAAAACATGCTGGATAAGTTGGCGACCCCAGATTAATAAAAGGACTATGATTAGAAATGTGTTGAAACAATCTGCTTTCCGTTAAACAGAAATTGGAGAAAGAAATATAGAAGGGGCTAATAATTCAGGAGGGCTAACAACTCTGACTTCAACTACATACACAGTTAAGGTCAGAATTATTAGCCCCCCTGTCAACACATTTCTAAACATAATAGCTTCATCTCTAATAACTGATTTATTTTATCTTTGCTATGATGTCAGTAAATAATATTAGACTAGATATTCTTCAAGACACTTCTATACAGCTTAAAGTGACTTTTAAAAGCTTAACTAGGTTAATTAGGTTAACTAGGCAGGTTAGGGTAATAAGGCAAGATATTGTATAACGATGGTTTGTTCTGTAGACAGGGCCGGCGCTTCCATAGAGGCGACCTAGGCGGCCGCCAGAATAGAGAGGGCGGCGTCCCCGAAACTTACCTCACCACCCGCGCCCTTATCTGCGTCTAGGGTGGCAGAATAGAGAGAGCAGCGTCCCCGAAACTACCCTCACCACCCGCGCCCTCATCTGCGTCTAGGGTGGCAGAATAGAGAGAGCGGCGTCCCCGAAACTATCCTCGCCACCCGCGCCTCAGTTATAGCCGCGTCTAGGGCGGTTTCACTTTAGGTTTGAGGGCGGCTTGACCGTCCTTTGCCTAGAGCGGCAGTTCAGCTTGCTGAATACCAGACCTTGTCTGTAGACTATTGGGAAAATAAATAGCTTAAAGGGGCTAATTTAACCCTAAAATGGTGTTTAAAAAATTAAAAACTGCTTTTATTCTAGCTGAAATAAAACAAGTAAAACTTTCTTCAGAAGAAAAAATATTATCAGACATACTGTGAAAATTTCCTGAATCTGTTTAACATTTGGGAAATATTTAAAATAGAAAATAAAATTCAAAGGGGGGGGGTAATAATTCTGACTTCAACTGTATATAGTGCCTGTAATGCATTTCTTAAAAATGTACCCCCCAAAGCGCAATACTTTTAAGCGATACATGGATAAAACAATGCAACAATAAAAGTGTAACAAGTTAAAAACATTTAAAAAATAAAACACACACTTTCCAGATTATTTAAACACCTTAAAAGATTCTGCATGCCTCATATCACAGGAGAATGAATAGCAGAGTTTTGGAGCAAAGGATTTTGATTTCTGTGCTGTGTATTACCTGAGCACTGTCCATTGAGCAGATCAAAGCCAGGTCTACAGGACACACACCTGTACGAGCCCTGCGAGTTCACACACTCCTTACCCGGACAGCGGAGCGGGTCCACACACTCATCGATGTCTATGAAGGATAAAACACCATGTGAAGTGCTTTTGAATAGATCTCATACAGAAATCTCTTCACGAGTGCGAGGTCAGTAAAGATCTGTTCATGTTTTAAAAAGTGTCTTATGCACAAAAGATGTACTTCATCAAACACACACAGATATTGTTTTTATTAAATGAAGGGTGTTCATGTGTAAAATGTAGGGAAGTACCTATGCAGCTGTTGTCCTGTAGTTTGTATCCAGTCCTGCACACACACCTGAAGCTGCCGAGTGTGTTTTCACAGCGGCCGTTAATACAGGGATTGGGCACCTGACGGCACTCGTCCAGATCTGTGGACAAACACCAATTATGAAGTAGAATGTTTAAAAAAAAAAGCTAGAGAGTTCAGTCAGTAAACAGAACGAATGAATGAGTGAGTGAGTGAGTGAGTGAGTGAGTGAATGAATGAATGAGTGAGTGAGTGAGTGAATGAATGAATGAGTGAATGAATGAATGAGTAAATGAATGAATGAATGAATGAGTAATTGAATGAATAAATGAATGAGTGAGTGAATGAATGAGTGAGTAAATGAGTAAGTGAGTAAATGAAAAAACGAATGAATGAGTGAATGAATGAATGAATCAATTAATTAATTGAGTGAATGAACAAATTAATTAATGAACAAATGAGTGAATAAATGAATGAGTGAATGAATGAAAAACATGAATAAATGAATGAATTAATGAATGAGAGAGCGAATAAATGCATGAGTAAATGAATGAATAAATTAATGAATGAATGAGTGAGTGAGTGAGTGAGTGTGTGAATGAATGAGTAGTTAATGAAAAAATAAATTAATGAATGAGTGAATTAATAAATGAGTAAATGAATGAGTAAATTAATACATAAGTGAATTAATAAATGAGTGAATGAATATGTGAACGAATTATTGAATGAATGTATGAATGAATGAATTAATAAAATGAATGAGTGAATGAATGAGTAAATGAATGAATGAATGAGAGAGTGAATAAATGAATAAATTTGTGAATGAGTGAATGATGAGTGAATAAATGAGTGAATAAGTGAGTAAGTGAATAAATAAATTAATGAGTGATTAAATGAAAAAATGAGTGAATGAATGAATAAATGAGTGAATGGATGAATAAAAATAGTTTGAGTGAATGAATGAATGAGTTAGTAAGTGAGTAAATTAATGAAAGAACTAATAAATTAGTGAGTGAATTTATGAATAAATGAATGAGTGAAAGGATAAATGAACGAATGACTAGATAAGTGAATGAATGAATAAATGGGTTAATGAATCAATCAATAAATGGGTGAATGAATAGATGAATGAATAAACGAATGAATGAATGAATGAATGAATGAATGAACATGTGAGTGAACAAATGAATAAATAAATGAATTAATTAATTAATGAGTGAATGAATGAATGAACAAATGAACGAACAAATCAATGAATAAGTGAGTGAATGAATGAATGAATAAATATATGAATGAATGAATGAATGAATGAATGAATGAATGAGTGTTTCTGACCGACACAGAGGGTCTGCTGGGAGTTGGTCTGGTATCCTGCTGGACACACACATCTGAAGCTGCCGGGTGTATTCACACACTCCCCCACAGAACACGGCCGGGGCGTCAACACACACTCGTTTTTGTCTGATAGTGACAGAAAGCCAAAGAGAAACGTCAGATCATTGATTTCCAACATAAGTAAAACAATCTTAGGACAAAAAAATGAATAATGAGATCATCAGTTATATGAGATCATGTTCATCAGTTATTGTTATAAATGATTAACTACACAACAGTTTCCCTAGAGAGTTTGCCCTTTCTCTCCAACTGTTGCACCCTACTGCTGTCTGCAATACCTGTTTCCCCAGTCATAAGTAACTGTAAGTACATAATGCACATGCACAGAGAACAGTCCCACAGCTGAAGCCCTGAAACTCATAGTCATCATTTGTAGATGCACACAGACACACAGACAGATATCTGCCTCAGAAATTGACCTTCGACCTTTTAAAACTTTGGAAGCATTAATAAGAAAAAGGAAATCTTCCACAGTGCCAGATATATCCGGCTGGGGAGAAGCTAAAATATGTCAGGCCATTTAATGGTGTGGAAGAAGTCTACAAGTGGTTTGCCAACTGTTATGAAGCACACACATTCACCACCTTATATATTTCTGTCTTCTGTAGAGCGGAGGTCTGCAATGGTGCTCATTTCCTCTTCCTCTAGTGTGCTTCTGAAGTCTAAAGTCATGCACTCGGTCGTGATTTCATACCTTGGCAGTGGCCTTGTTGAGGATTGAGGATGAATCCAGTGTTACACACACATGTGTGTCGACCGCCTGGCAGGTCAATGCAGCGGCCCGGACCACACACCTGAGGTCTCGACTCACACACACGCACGTCTGCAGGAATCAACCACTGATGGCATTACTCACAAACACAACATATAAAGTCAAAAAAGTGTGACATTTTCAGACATTTAAATTCATCTTTTAGGCAAAATATCATGTTTTAACTTCTAATTTTCAATCCCAAAAATATATATAATCATAATTCATACAACACAGCATATATGAATACATTCTACACTAACCGGCCACTTTATTAGGTACACCTTATTAGTACCACGTTGGCTGCCCGGCATATGTATCCAGCATATGTTTTACGCAGCGGGTGCCCTTCCAGCTGCAACACATCTCTGGGAAACATCCATACACTCTGGATACATGTTTTATGCAGTGGATGCCCTTCTAGCTGCAACCCATCTCTGGGAAACATCCATACACACTCATTCACACTCATACACTACGGACAATTTAGCCAACCCAATTCCCTTATAGCGCATGTGTTTGGACTGTGGGGGAAACCCACACCATCACGGGAGAACATGCAAACTCTACACAGAAACCCCAACTGGCCCAGCCAGGATTCAAACCAGCACCCTTCTTGCTGTGAGGCGACAGTGCTCACCACTGAGCCACCATATGATGTAAAACATATATTAATATTTGCAATTCAGTAATAAAAAAATCAGTGATAAAAACTTTGAGTGTATAATTAATGATGGCGCACCCTGTCTGGTTGGAGGAGGCCGCGGTGTAACGGGTGGAGGTCTGACTGGAGACACCGGCTGTCTGTTAACCGAAGGTCGGCTGGTTTGCGTCCGGATGACAGCTGTAAACAATCAGATTAAATCAGCCACTCGCTGTCGCATGTTTAAAAGAATTATATTACATCCTATAATTATAGATCAGTCAAAAATGCAAATGAATGATGAGAATGAAAATGAAGCAGGGTTCGACAATAAGGATGGTCCAATATGCATGCACAGGCGATCGAGAAGCAACACGACTGACAAAAAAATTGTGTTCGCAACTTCACGCGAGCAAAGCAGGTGAATACCGAATGAGAGGATAATCACTCGCGCTAACAGCTGAGGTGATGCGCGCTACTGTTTATAACGCGTGCACGCTCCCGTTTCCTTTTGTGAAGCAACTGTGTCTAGAAACAAAACTGATGCGATCGATTCTCTTTCAAATAGACTGAACAAAAGGGAGGAACATGCACTTACAGTCCTGCTGCTTTCAAGAGATCCAGAGTTGACTTATTGTGAGCAGCGCCAGTTGCTTTCGCTTTAACCATTCTTTGAAAAGATAATTTATGGGTCTATCATTAATCATGCGTGTGTGATCATCCTTTCATTATCACACAGTATGTTTTTACCTGCTTTCTTTTGCATTGATATGGTTTAATTATCTTTTTTATACAATAACATTGCTTTAATAGGAGAATAACTCCCCATTTATGTGTAGTTAACTGGTGATCTGGGACCTTTAGCCAGGACACATGACTGTGCATATGTTTTGTTAAATAAAAAGTACAGTATTCAGCTATGTTTAGCATGTTTTCACACATTTAAAATTTGTGGCTAAGAAATAATAAACTGTTTATTTATGGTGTGGTCAGAGATAAATTGGGTAAATCCTTCATTTTGGGCTCTGAAAGTTATGAAAACTAATTGTAATATATGAAAGCCTGAGCCATTTGCTCATGATTATTGAGCGAGCTCATACACGACACACAAAAGTGAAATGAATGAGGAGGCATGTAGAGTAACGCAAACTAAATCAAGTCATTTCAGCATGTCAAAGTCATATTTATGTGTATAATATATAATTTCCCAACAATAAAATTGTGGCTAGTGAAAATGGCGAGTGGCTAGTAATGTTGGAAAACTGCTAGCCACAGTGGCTGGTGGTCAAAAAAGTTAATGTTAAGCCTGATTACTATCATGTTTACAAAATGTGCTTTTTAAAAAAGAAACAATCTTTATTATCCTCACAGGAGGGCTAATAATTTTGTCTTCAGCTGTACGTGTAATTAAGCAAAACTAACTGTAATTAGTGTTTAACTATGTCACCTAAAATGAAAGTGTTCCCCTGTGTTTCACTAAATAACTCAATGAGAAAGGCTCACGTGTGTTCACTCGGGCCGGTTGGCTGGTGGATGATGGTGAATTCCCAGCATGTATGTTTGTGGTCCTGCCGGCTGTTGGCTGGTTTAGTTTGGGTTGAGTTATGATGATAACCGAACCCGTGTCCGGCTGCTGTGGTCTGCTCGACTGAGAGATTGAGGGTTGCTGGACTCTGATGGTGTGCGTGTTGCTGGTTTGCTGGGTTCTGGTGGACTGTGAGTTTGTTCTGGAGCTCTCAGGTTGGGTTTGTTTGTCTTGTGTGGATGTACGCACATTTGTCCCGCTGCTGTCTACAATATCAGCGACCCTTTGGTTAATCTTGACCGCCGAAGCTGAATAATGGTAGCCCGGTCCGGCAGGACAGATCTCCTTGAAGGCAGCTGTGAACATAAAGATAAGAAACTGATTGAAAATCTGGGAAATTCACATTTTTTGTTTCTTAAAGATCCCTTGACGTAGGCAAGGGATGATAACCGGTTTCAAGGAGTACTGCAGATTGAAAAAGTCAAGGTATTAAAAAGGCTAATCTTTCTCTTATACATTCCCTACAGTATACAGTATGTATGTTTTAACTAGTGCTGTCAATCTATTTAAAAAAATTTACTAATTAATCACACTTTTTTTTTAAAAACTAATCACGATTAATCACATTTAAAATACTGAAACTTGTAATTTTGGCTATTTAAAAGTAAAATTAATGTAAACGCAAGACAAAAAACATTTAAATTCAAAATATTATTGTTTAATAGAATTTTTGTTTAACTTGTAACACAGATTTCTTCATGTAAACAACATACCCACAATAAACCATCAAGATCCTGCTTGACAGCCATATTTATTACAGAAATTAAAACACAGGCATGTTAATGACATTTAAATTTTAAAACAATCAATGCAATAAAGAAAACATTGATTTCCATGTTGGATTCTAAGTGGACTGCAAAAAAATGCCAAAATACAGGAATTGCAGATATGGAAAATGAAAAATTATAATAATAAACTATAGAATACAAACTGTTGCACTCATTGTAAAGTTTTATTGCTGTGAGTTGAGAACATTAGTTATAGAGTAGAAACCATTTTGCTTAATCCTCCTTTACATTCATCCAGTTGCTAAGACTAGGAGTATCCCGCAAGTGCACAGAGACTCCCAAATGCCCGCAAATGAATGATAATTTCTTGCAAACCAGTCGTTAAATACATTGCACACCCCTCTCGCCCCTACTCAGATACGTCGCTCACTCCACCCCTGACACCCCTCAACAGGCCTGACACAGACACACACACAGACAGACACACACACAACGTGCTGCAGACGTTTTGGCCCCAACGGCCTTCCATACTGGAGCGACTCCCCTCAGATTCAACACGCATGATCACGTTCATCAAATTTGCTTAAACTAAGCGTCCTAAAGTATTACTGTATTTCACAAGGATTCTAACACAACAACGCGAATGCGTTAATTTTGACATCACTTGTTTTAACTAATTTATTTTATTTTATTTTTTTTAACTATTTAATTTAATGTTTTTAGGGCTACAGTACCTCCAGCACAAAATAACCCTCCACATCAAAAGCTTCTGTCCCAAATTATGTTTCTATTTACCAATAAATGTTTCTTCAAATAAAATATATTGTGTTCAGTGGGGGAAAAGCTCTTCAGAACTTTCAAAAACACTTCAACAAGAGGTGAAAATCTCAAAGGTTCTGTAGGTCTCATCTATTAAATCTGAGCTTCATTTTGTATTAGCTATTGGATTCGGATCAGGTGATTGGCTGGGCCATTCTACAGCTTGATTTTCTAGAGTTAGGGAAAATGTACCCAATATTTACTCAGCTTCAAGTTGTTCCAAACTTACTTTCTTCTATTGAACACAAAGGAAGATATTTTGAAGAATGCTGAAACCCATCTAACTACTGACTTCCATAGTTGGAAAAACAAATACAATGGAAGTCAATGGTTACAGATTTACAGCTTACTTCAAAACAGAAGTGTTCAGCAGAAGAAAGAAGCTCAGATTTGGAATAAGTGAATAAATGAGGACATTATTTCTATGGTTTTGTGTGAACTATCTCTTTAAACAAACACAAAACACAGTTCTGAAGATCTTAAAACCCTATAAAAGTACAAGTGTTTCTCAGCTGAGCCAGAAATGAAAGAGGGTCAACTGGGGCGATGCTAGAACTTGCGGTATTTAAAACGAAGGCAGACAAATTACACAGTAAATCCCAGCTCCTTTGATATTCCTCCAGACGTTTTCAAAGAAATATTGCTGCTGGTGTGGGTGGGACGGCATCTTGAGGAACAGTTGGACGCTTTGAGCAAAAAAATCCAAATCATGTTTCAATATTGTGCGCCAACATCTCTCGCCCCAAACGTCTGCCTTAAAGATGTTCATCTAAGTGTGCATGCTTTAAAAACTCTACACATCACATCTGCCACTCAACCGGATTACACGTCCCATAATTCACAGCACATCACACCTGATGTTCATCTTTTTTGATTACACACACGTCTGCAGATCGTTTACACTGATTACACACACTATATAAGCACCACATTCACACACAATCTCGGCTCAGTCTTGTATATCTGTCTAGTGTGTATTACCAAGCATTTTCATTGTCTTGCCTAGTCGTGTTTTAACCCTTTGTTTTGTTTATATTTTTATGTTTGTTTTGCTGCCTGCCTCAATGTTTTCCCTATTACATCTACTGGTGGGCTGAGCAAGGCTTCATGAAACAATGAAACAGTTGAAGCAAATATATCAAGGCTTCGAAACGTTTCTGAATCCGTCTCTACAGTGACACCTAGTGGTCATTTATATGTATTGCTCTGGAACAGCTTCAGGAAAGAAACAGTTACGTAAATTGAGGAAGTATGTCCACAAGATGGTCCTCTAGACTACAGGAGATAGTAGTTTTGTCGCCGACCATGTCAATCAAATGCATATTCGCCAGGTCTCGGACTGCTTGTGATCTTTTGCATCGCTTTAGTCATGTGACCTGCGTGTTTTGAAATGTTTCAGAGCAGCATTGCGAAACATCTGCGGTGCGGGATGGAGACACCGTGTCGAAATGTTAAATTCGTGTCAGCCATCCCTAGTTCTGACTCTTTGTTTTGTTTATGTGTTTAGGTTTGTTTTGCAGCCTGCCTTAACGTTTTGCCTGTTACACCTAGTGGTGGGCAGAGCAAGGCTTTATGAAACACTGAAACAGTTGAAGCAAATATATCAAGGGTTCAAAACGTTTCAGAATCCATCTCTACAGTGACACCTAGAGGTAATTTTTTATGTATTTCTCTGGAACAGCTTTAGGAAAGAAACAGTGATGCAAATTGAGGAATTATGTCCACAAGATGGTCCTCTAGACTACAGGAGATAGTAGTTTTGTCGCCGACCATGTCAATCAAATGTAGATTCCCCAGGTCTTGGACTGCTTGTGATCCTTTGAATCGCTTTAGTCATGTGACCTGCGTGTTTTGAAATGTTTCAGAGCAGCGTTTCGAAACATCTGCATTTGGATCAATACACCTTGTCGAAATGTTAGATTTGTGTCAGCCATCCCTAGCTCTGACTCTTTGTTTTGTTTATATGTTTATGTTTGTTTTGCTGCCTGCCTCGACCTTTAGCCTGTTACATCTAGTGATGGGCAGAGCAAAGCCTCATGAAACACTGAAAGATTTGAAGCAAATATGTCGAGGCTTCGAAACGTTTCGAAACCTGTCTCCAGAGTTACATGTAGTGGTAATTTTTTATGTATTGCTCTGGAACAGCTTCAGGAAAGAAACAGTGACGCAAATTGAGGAATTATGTCCACAGACGGTCCACTGGACTACAGCAGATTGTGGTTTTGTTGTCGACCATGTCAATCAAATGCAGATTCGGCAGGTCTTGGACTGTTTTTGATCCTTTGAATCGCTTTCGTCACGTGACCTGGGTGTTTTTCGAAACGTTTCAGAGCAGCGTTTCGAAACATCTTTCGAAACGTTTGGATCAAGACACCGTGTCGAAATGTTAGATTCATGTCAGCCATTCCTAGTTCTCACTCTTTGTTTTGTTTATATGTTTATGTTTGTTTTGCAGCCTGCCTTAACATTTTCTGCCTTAACAACTGCCTTAACAAAGCAAGGCTTCATGAAACACTTAAACAGTTAAAGCAAATATGTCGAGGCTTCAAACATTACAAAACCCGTCTCTACAGTGACACCTAGTGGTAATTTTTTAAAGTATTGCTCTTAAACAACTCTAACAAAGGAAACAGTCATGCAAATTAAGGAAAAAAAACGCACATTGTTTTGACAAGACATCAAGTGATTTAGTGAGTGGTTAGTGCTCGTGACTGGCATGAATATGTATTCGAGATTGTAATTTTGTTGCCGACCCTGTCAATCAAATGCAGATTTGCCAGGTCTCGGACTGCTTGTGATCCTTTGAATCACTTTAATCACGTGACCTGGGTGTTTCGAAACGTTTCAGAGCAGCGTTTTGAAACATCTGCTGTTCAGGATCTCGACATTGTGTCAAACGTTTTAAATCAGCCTTCCCTAGTTTTGACTCTTTGTTTTGTTTATATGTTTATGTTTGTTTTGCTTCCTGTCTTGACCTTTCGCATGTTACACTGACTACTCTTTTGGATGATCAGCAGGTTACCATCTGTCCCTGTATTAAGCACTCTTAATAAAGCTGCATTTGGGATTTTATCTTCATGTATGCACTGTCATTACAGTGTCCAAGTGTCTCACCTGAGCCGAAGAACGGGCATAACTCGCACTTTTTCCCCCAGGCTTTTCCCACCCGACTGCAGCAGCAGATCTGCTTGGTGATGTTTCTCAGGATGGGCAGAGAACAGGCGCCCTGATTCAGGATCCGAAAACACTGGTCCTTCTCCTCCGAGATCACCTTCTGCGCTATAGGCAGAAAACAGTAAGGGATAAGATTAAATACTGCATGCACATGCTCAGAACTAAAGGGACAGGAGCTGTTGCTGGGGGCAGTACTTTTTCAAAAGGCACATACTTGTACCTGAAGGGTCCATATTAGTACCTCAAAGGTACTTTTTAGGTGATTTAAGTACATTTGGGTACTAAAATGCACCTTTGAGACACCACTGTGGACTCTTTGGCTACAAATATGCATCTTTAAAAAAAGATACTGCTCCAGTGGCAGCTACTGTTCCTTTATTTCTGAGCGTGTAGGGATGTGAATCTGAACATGCCACAGACTGCACATGCAGATACAGACGTATGTAAAAACACGGTAAATAAAACCTGTGCATTAACAGTTTTGTGTATATTGTGATTAATCTTTTTCCATGCATTTATGCTTTTTATCCGCATAAAGGGATCAATCTCTGACAACTTTTGATGATGAAATGTTTACAAAAAAATGCCATTTTTAACATTGTAAAGTATCCTGTAAAATATAGCACAAAATGAACCATGAACTTATTTCTGTAGTAATAAAGTGCTTAGAATTATAATAAAAGTCATTTAAATTAAAGTTTTAACATCATAATTTTAGGTAAAGAGGTGCAATAATGAGAATCATAACTGGAAATACACAGAAAACACTTGTGAATCACAAAATACCACTGTCAGATAACAGATTTTCTTTACAGGCGTCATGAAACTTCATATGGCTTAATGTAGTCATGTAGACTTTTAAAGGGAGATTTCACCCCAAAATAACGTATAATTGTGTCATCATTTACTTTCATTTCATTTCAAACCTGAATAACTTTCTTTCTTCTGTGGATCACAGGAACAGGAGTTTAGAGGAATGCTCATGCTGCTCCTTTCCATACAACAAAAGCATGCAGCGAGCATTAAGGTATTAAAAAAGAAACATCAAAATCATATTCCGAAGTCTTCTGATGCTATACACTTGGGAAAAAGTAAATTGAGCAAAAAAGTGCACTTAAACTGTTTTATATTGCAGTTTTATTTGTATTAAATAGCAATTAGATATTGTATATATGAAAAAAAGATTAGACTTTTGTACTTTTGCAGTGTTTTTATTTTTATTTTGGCATAATACAAAGTGTATATACACTACCTGATGAAAGTCTTGTCGTGGATCTCAGTTGTAAGAGCAACAAATAATAACTCGACTTCTAGTTGATCCTTAAGGTGGATCTTTCAGATGAATCATCTGCTGAACTGCATGCCAATCATCACAAATACTGCAGAAGACCTACTGGAACCAGCATGGACACAAGATTCTCATAGAAATCAGTCAAGTTTGGTGAAGGAAACATCATGGTTTGGGGTCTACATTCAGTATGGGGGCGTGCGAGAGATCTGCAGCATCAACAGCCTGAGGTATCAAGACATCTGTGCTGCCCATTACATTACAAACCACAGGAGAGGGACAATTCTCCAGCAGGATAGCGCTCCTGCTCATACTTCAGCCTCCACATCAAAGCTCCTAAGAGCAAAGAAGGTCAAGCTGCTCCAGGATTGGCCAGCCCAGTCACCAGACATGAACATTATTGAGCATGTCTGTGGTAAGATGAAGGAGGAGGCATTGAAGATGAACACAAAGACTCTCGATGAACTCTGGGATGAACTCTCGCTTTCTTTGCCGTTCCAGATGACTTTATTAATCAGTGATTTGAGTCATGTCAGAGATGTATGGATGCAGTCCTCCAAGCTCATGATGGAGTCAGACACAATATTCATTCTGTCTCCACTGCAGCAGCACTTTATATTCTATACTGGACATTATTTCTGTTCAGTGATCAGACTTTAGTCTAAGCAGAGTCAGATCTTACTGTCCTAATGAAATCATTAATAATCAAGACATGATCAGATTTTATTGAGCTCAAATAAGCAAAATCTAGAGGCCTTTACCTTTCATAGAGACACTTCTGATACCAAATGATCAACTAGAAGTCAACTTATTATTTGTTGTTCTTAAAACTTGGATAGGCGACAAGACTTCTGTCAGGTAGTGTAGATATAGAGCTAAAAAGAAGACTATATAAGAACTAAATAACACAGCAAGTATACTTTCAAAATCAAAATTGCACTTAATGTCCAGAAGAATTAAAAAGTCTTGTTTGAGGAACCAAACTGAATACACTGAAACTGAAAATTCCCCAAAAATTAACCGAAAAATATACATTTTAATTTTCCAGGTCCTCCACATCGCACAATGTTATAGTTTTGCTTTAAAAATAGTGTACATCTGTTACGACTGAAGTTTATTTATTTATTTATTATTGCATGTCTTTTTCTTTGTCCCTCCTTCTTGTTGTTTTCTGTTATCCCATAGGCTCCCATATGTGATTTTGTGTTCTGATTGGCTGCTGGTCTCGGAGGCCTGTATAAAAAGGAACTTCCAGCAGGGTTCGGGGAGCTCAGTGCTGCGTTCGGCGCTGGGAGTGGAGCTCCTGGATTTCCCTTACCCCTCCGGCCGACGACCAACAATCAGTTTTGTACCGTTGTTCATACGTTAATCTATTTTGAGACTTTGAGCTTGTAGGGGTGGTCTGCCTATTTATTTGATTACTTTTGACTATGTTTATGTTTAGGGAGAAAGGTAAGCTTCCTGTATTTTTCATTTAGTGCATTTGCTTTATAGATTCTTCTGTTATTTTGGCCGGTGGCCACCCTGAAGAGATGCTCATTTATATTTACTACTTTTTTCTATAATAAATCTATTCAATTACTCTGAACTGAGTGTCTGAGTTTGGTTGTCGACCAAAGGGGATCTTTTGCACTAAGTTTTTGTTTTGTTTGGGAAGTCCACCTCCCCAACACATTTGTTTTCTCGTTTATTATGCCCATGTTGTTTTCCCCTAGACTTGGGGCGTAATAACATCTATAAAGACGTCTTTTTGGAGACTAAATCACTGTATGCTTTCATTACATGGTAAAAGAGCAGCTTGGACATTCTGCAAAACATCTCTTCTTGTGTTTCTCAGAAGACTTAAGACTTAATATCTTTTTAGGGAACCGTCCCTTTAATCTGATTATGTTTATTAATGACATCACAAACATGTACCTCAACAAAACCCTAAAGAAATAGACATTTCTCCCACACATTCTAAATCACACTGGAGCGTTTTGATTGGCTTAGCAGCACAAACAGAGTTTAAATAGAGCCAGGCATTAATCAGCCACACAGATCAGCCTGAGCCAATCACTGCAGGAGTACAGTATGATCACGCAGATGAAGTACACAGAGCACACACATGTACACTTACCTGACGACACACATCAACATGCTCGGAAGGCTTGACAAGATTCAGACAAGAGGAAAACTTGATTAAACAGAGAGACACGGAATTTCAACAAATAAAGAGAAATAGAGAGAAATGCAGCTCCCAAATGCACAGGAAAACCCCAGAAAAACACCGAAGGCCTGAAAGTAAGGATGCATATGAGTAATGCCTGCTGGAACAGACAGAAACACAGCGGCACACAGCCAAAACCTGCACTTCTGCTCACTATGTAGTGTGGATCTGAAACTCTGCGCTGTTGGGAGTATATGAGACACTGTACTGTGCTGTACTGGTTAATAATACACTGAGACTCACCATGGCAAATATAAAAATATAGTGAATTATTACTATGATTTAAATTAGGGCTTCACAATACTGGGAAAATATGCACTTTATTTCATTCCTATTTACAATCAATGTTTAGGTTAATATTTAAAGTGTCTCATGTTCATTAAATAAACAAATACGAATGATTTCTTTATTTTAATGTACATTTAATGCTACTAACAATCCAATAACTAAGCCTTTCAGCTCAATAAACTACTAATTAGCCGCTTATTACTAGTTAGTGCGCTCAAAAACGGACATTTGCTGTTTATTTAAATTGAGCTGAAACAACACAATTATTGTTTTTGTTTTTTTTTGGAGGGGGGACCTTATTGTTTTATCTTCGATCCTTTTAATGTTGTAAAAAATAATTATTTAACTTATTTCCTTCATGTTGTTCTAACAGAAATCCAATTTGTGTGGAACCTTTCATTTTTACAGTGTAGGATTTAAGTATTGAGTAGGATGAAGGATATAGATATATATTTATACACTCACTGGCCACTTTATTAGGTACATCTTACTGGTACCGGGTCGGACCCCTTTTGCCTTCAGAACTGCCTTAATCCTTCGTAGCAGATATTAAACAGGGTACTGGAAATATTCTTCAGAGATTTTACTCCATTTTGTCATGATAGCATCACACAGTTGCTGCAGATTTGTTAAGCTGCACATCCATGATGCCAATCATCCACCACATCCCAAAGCTGCTCTATTGGATTGATCTCTGGTGACTGTGGAGGCCATTTGAGTACAGTGAACTCATTGTCATGTTCAGGAAACCAGTTTGGCGCTTTATGACATGGCATGTTATCCTGCTGGAAGTAGCCATCAGAAGATGGAGACACTGTGTTCATAAAGGGATGGACATGGTCAGCGGCAATACTCAGGTAGGCTGTGGCGTTGATGCTCAATTGGTACTAATGAGCCCAAAGTGTGCCAAGAAAACATCCCTCACACCATTACACCACCACCACCAGCCTGAACTGCTGATACAAGGCAGGATGGATCCATGCTTTCATGATGTTGAGGCCAAATTCTGACCCGATCATCCGAATGTGTCAGCAGAAATGGAGACTCATCAGAGCAGCAACGTTTCTCCAATCTTCTATTGTCCAGTTTTAGTGAGTCTGTGTGAATTGTAGCCTCAGTTTCCTGTTCTTAGCTGACAGGAGCGGCACCCGGTGTGGTCTTCTGCTGCTGTAGCCCATCTGCCTCAAGGTTGGACGTGTTGTGTGTTCAGAGATGCTCTTCTGCAGAGCTCGGTTGTAACAAGTGCTTATTTGAGTGACTGTTGCCTTTCTATCAGCTGGAACCAGTCTGGCCATTCTCCTCTGAGCTCTGGCCTCATCAACACGGCATTTGCGCCCACAGAACTGCCGCTCACTGGATATTTCCTCTTAGTTGGACCATTCTCTGTAAACCCTAGAGATGGTTGTGCGTGAAAATCCCAGTAGATCAGCAGTTTCTGAAATACTCAGAGCAGCCCGTCTGGCACCAACAACCATGCCATGTTCAAAGTCACTTAAATCCCCTTTCTTTCCCATTCTGATGCTCGCTTTGAACTGCAGCAGATCGTCTTGACCATGTCTACATGCCTGAATGCATTGAGTTGCTGCCATGTGATTGGCTGATTAAAAATTTGGGTTAACAAGGAGTTGGACAGGTGTTCCTAATAAAGTGGCCGGTGAGAGTGCATTATGTAATATTTATATTATTTTGTAGTGACAAAATGGCCAAACAAATCATTACCGCTAAAAACACTTGATTAATGTAGGATTAATAGTCGAGATGTCACTGAATAAAAGGGACAATTCAACAAAAAATGAAAATGCCAGCATTATTTACTCAGTTTTCACTAACATATTTCAGCCTTTTTTTCTGTTAAAGACAAAAGAAGTTATTTTGAAGAATGGTGGAAACCTGTAACCATTGACTTCTATAGTATTTGCTTTTCCTACTACAGAAGTCAATGGTTACAGGTTTCCGACATTCTTCAAAATATCTTCTTTTGTGTTCTACAGGGAAAAGGAAACGCATGACCACTTAAGGGTGAGTAAAGTTAGATTTTTGGGTGATCTATCTTTTAAAAACAGACAAAAGGCTTTCTTAGTGTGCGTTTGTATGTGTGACTGAAGGCTGTAGCTGTGTGTCTCTGCTCTTTCTGTCATATTCCTCCTCCCGTTCTCCTCTCAGGCGACGCCGCGGTGTCCGACAGTCCCGTACTTACAGATGCAGATCCCATGAGAGGCGTCCAGCAAGAATCCCTCATTGCAGACACAACTGTAGCTTCCTCGGGTGTTTACACAGTTCCCGTTTTCACAGAAACCCGGCTGCAAACACTCGTTAATATCTACACCAGGGGAGGAAACATGATGACTGTCATAACCTGACAGACGCCGCAGCATTGCCCACCCGATATATAATATATATAGACAATATATCCACAGAGGAATGAACCGCCAACTATTCCAGCATATGTTTAATGCAGCAGATGCCCTTCCAGCTGCAACCCAGTACTGGGAAACAGCCATACACACTCTCACACACACACACATACACTATGCACAAGTTAGTTCATCAATTCCCCTATAGCGCATGTGTTTGGACTGTGGGGGAAACCAGAGCACCTGCAGGAAACCCACGCCAACACATGGAGAATATGCAAACTCTACACAGAAATGCCAACTGACCCAGCCACAGTGCTAACCACTGAGCCACCATGCCGCCCCAAAGTTACAATATGTTTTTGTAATGCAGTGAAATTGATTCCTCATGATATCTCCAAATGTAGTGAACCCACTGAGCATTGTTGTTTTGTAATGACAGAAGTGATGTGGTTTGAAGCAGCAGGCGGCAGAAATAGAGAAAAGGATACGTAACGGATCTGGAGTTGTGATTATTTGACCCTGTGAGCAGCTCCAGCTATGTGTTGATAAATTGATTTTACAGTGTGTTTATCAAACCATCTGCTCTGCCGTTACGCTCAGCATGAAGATTAGCTGCAGATTCTCCTCCAGGGAAGAAACTCTCTGGGTTTCACGGATATTGACAAATTGGGAAAGATTCATTTGGTCATAATTACTACCATGTGAGACTATTTGGGTTTAACAGCTCTGTCAGCTGGACGAGGTTGTCGGCGTGTGCTTTAAAAATTAAGCATCGAGTGAAATAATAGCATTGTAATAGCAGGTATTAAAATAAAGGTACTATTAGGCATGTTAAATAAAAAACTAAATGAAATAAAGATTTTTAAATAAAATAAACTTACAAACTAAAATAAACTAAAATTTAATGAAACATGATTAAAATAATAATATAAACTTATAGTGATTCCATGATGTATGGAAAAAAATATTTTTAAATAAAATCAAACAATTAAAATTATAGTCATTATGTGCATGGGAATAAAACAAAATTAGGATATTTAAAAAAATATATTGGTTTACATTTTCATTTAGTTTTCTTTCGTAAAACAACAAAATAAAATAAAAACTAAAACATACTAAAATAAATAATCTTAAATAAAATAAACTAAACTAAACTTAAATAAAATAAAATCAAAAATAGCAAAACATGATTGAAATAATAATATAAACGTATAGCCATTTTATGATGCAAGGAAAAAAATATAATAATAAATCTTGATTTACATTTATCTTGTTAAAATAAAATCAAATAAAATTAAATAAGATAAAATAAAAAATAAAATAAATAAATAAATAAAATGAAATAAAATTATAGAGATAAAACAATGCATTAAATTATAGTCATGCAATGGTGCATGGGAAAAAATAATGCAAATTAAAAAAAAATCTTGAATTTCAGATATCATGCTCAAAAATAAAATAAAATAAAATAAAATAAATTATTAAAAAACGTGATTAAAATAATACTTTACATAGACTTATAGTCATGCCATGATGCATGGAAAAAAATTATAATTAAAAAAATCTTGAATTTCATTTATCTTGAAACATAAATACACATAAATTCACATAAATAAAATAAAATAACATCAAATAAAATAAAATGAAAATGATTGAAATAAGACCATGCATAAAATTAAATATGCAATGGTGCATGGGAAAAAAATAATGATATTCATATATCTTGCTCAGAAATAAAATAAAATATATAAATAAAATACAATTAAATAAAATTATTCAAATAAAACCATACAATAAATTATAGTCATGCAATGGTGCATGGGAAAAAATATAATAATTTAAAAAAAATTGATTTAAATGCTTGATTAAAAAAAAAAAAAATATCATCAATTTTTAACTATTCTATCTTTGTTATCTCACACACATAACACATCCATATTATGCATTTACTGTAGATAATGTCGTCCAGTCAGCTTGACAGATAAACAAAACAACAACAGCTCCATCTCACTTGTTTACCCCATTGATTAAGGCACATCATAGAGATAAAGCCCCTCCACAATGATCTGCCCCTGTAGATACAACTAAATGTTCACGTTTAACATCAGAAACAGCAACTGAACGAAGGCAATGATCAAAGCTGAGAAGCGTCTGCATCAGATTCAGCATTTACACAGAACTAGACATCAAAACGTCATCAGAGACGAATGTATTTGGCTGACCTCTGGGTGAAGAAGTTAAAGTACAGATAGTGAGAGATAATGGTGTCTTACCCACACACTGCGTCCCGTTAACCCTGTCGAAACCTTTCGGGCAGCTGGCCTGACCATTCACACTGTTCCCTGAAGACACAACAGAATAACACAGATGAATAACACAATAATTAGCACATCATTCATCTTCAGACACAACAACACACAAGAAAAATGTGCTATCATCACGTTTAAAGAAGACCTAAGGAGACCTAGGCTGAAGCTAAAAACCTGTAACCATTGACTGACATAGTATTTGTCCTTCATACTATGGCAGTCAATGGTTACAGATGTTCAGCATTATTCAAAATATCTTCTTTCGTGTTCAGCAAAAGAAAGAAACTCATAAAGTTTGAAACAAGTAAAGGGTGAACATATAGTGAGTACATTTTCAGATTTTAGTGCGCTGTTCCTTTAAGTGTGTTAAAATATAGTCCTGAAAGTGTCTCTCTTTGGGTGGCATTTTATTTCATTCAACTTATATAATATCTGGGAGTATAGTTTCATAAAACAACCTTAAAGGGATAGCTCACCCAAAATTGTCAATGCTGTAACCATTCACTAACATAGTAGAACAAAAAACAAAGAAATATGAAAGTCAATGGTTACAGGGTTTCAGCATTCTTCAAAATATCTCCATTTGTGTTGAACAGAAGAAAGAAACTTATATGGTTTGAAACAAGTAAAGGGTGACAAAATAGTGAGCATATTTCTATTTTCGTTTTTTTTTAAACCTGTAACCATTGACTTCAAAAGTATGTGTTTTTCCTACTATGGAAGTCAATGGTTACAGGTTTTCAGCCTTCATCAAAATATCTTCTTTTGTGCTCAACAGAAGAAAGAAACTAGGAAATGTTTGAAACGAGTAAAAGGTGAGCTAATAGTGAGTATATTTTCATTTTGTGGTGAACCTGTAACTGTTGACTGCCAAAGTATTTGTTTTTCCTACTAGGGAAGTCAATGGTTACAGGTTTTCAACATTCTTCAAAATATCTTCATTTGTGTTCAACAGAAGATAGAAACTAATACTATTTAAAACAAGTAAAGAATGACTAAAGAGTGAGTATATTTTCATTTTGTGGTGAAAATTTAACTATTTACTTCCATACTATTTGTTTTTCCCATGAAAGTCAATAGTTACAGGTTTTCAGCATTATTCAAAATGTCTTCTTTTCTGTTTAAAAGAAGAAAAAACTTATATAGTTTACAACAAGGGTGACCAAATAGTAAGCATATTTTCACTTTTTAGTGAACTTGTAACTATTGACCTCCATAGTATTTGTTTTTCCTACTTTAGAAGTCAGTAGTTACAGGTTTACAGCATTCTTCAAAATATCTTCTTTTGTGATCAACAGAAGAATTTCTTAAAGGTTTGAAACAAGTAAAGGGTGAGCTAATAGTGAGTATATTTAAATGTTTAGGTGAACCTGTAACCATTGACTTCCATAGTATTTGTTTTTCCTATGTTTTTCACATTCTTTAAAATATCTTCTTTGTGTTCAACAGAAGAAAGAAACTAATAAATGTTTGAAACAAGTAATAGGCTGAGCTAATAGTGAAGTTATTTTCTTTTTTGGTGAACCTGTAACCATTGACTTCTATAAAATTTGTCTTTCCTACTATGGAAGTCAATGGTTACAGATTTTCAACATTCTTCAAAATATCTTATTTTGTGTTCAACAGAAGAAACTCATACTGTAAATGTTTTAAAACAAGGTGAGCAAATAGTATGTTTTAATCTTGTGGTGAGCCTGTAACTATTGACATCCACAGTATTTGTTTTCGTACAATGGAAGTCAATAGTTACAGGCTTTCAGCATTCTTCAAAATGTCTTCTTTTGTGTTCAACAATAGAAAGAAAATGTTTTGGGCTAGTAAATAATGACAGAATTGTCTCTTTAAGATGCACATTGAATATATTTATTTTTCTGGTTTGCTCGTCTTCCAGCAGTGTGTTTGCCGCAGTGCCTCACAGAGAGGAAAAGTAAGTATTTGTCCCTGTGAGGTTGAATATTTGTGGCTCCGAGAAGCCAAAGATCTGGAGGGGTGTAACAGACACCTCTATTGTTCCAGTCATCATTCAGCATCGGCTCAATGATTATATAACCATGTGCTTAACGTTATCAACCTCTCCGGGTCGCCAAGCAGTTATGAAAATACATGCTGGATAAATGTTCCTCTGCGTGAAGAGAAACAGAAGAGCGCTGGCTTTAAATCAATATTCATTCAATCATTTCCTTGTTTATCAGAGGTCGCCACAGCAGAATCAATCGCCAACTATTTCAGCATATGTTTTATGAATTGCCCTTCCAGCCGCAACCCAGTACTGGGAAACACCCATACACACGCATTCACACATTCTCATACACTACAATATCTATCTATCTATCTATCTATCTATCTATCTATCTATCTATCTATCTATCTATCTATCTATCTATCTATCTATCTATCTATCTATCTATCTATCTATCTATCTATCTATCCATCGATCCTTCTTTCTGTCTATCCATCCATCCATCCATCCATCCATTTTTCTGTCTGTCTGTCTGTTCATACGTCCATCTATTCATCCACCCACCCATCCATCTTTCTATCCATCCATGCATCCATCCATCTTTCTTTCTGTCTGTCTATCCATCCACCCATCCTTCCTTCCTTCCTTCGATCCATCCATTCATCCATCTATCCATCCTTTCTTCTGTCTATCTCTCTGTCTGTCCGTCCGTCCATCCATTCACCCACCCATATATCTTTCTATTCAACCATGCATCCATCCATCCATCCTTTTTTCTTTCTTTCTTTCTTTCTTTCTTTCTTTCTTTCTTTCTTTCTTTCTTTCTTTCCTTCCTTCCTTCCTTCCGTCCGTCCGTTCTTTCATTCATTCATTCATTCATTCATTCATTCATTCATTCATTCATTCATTCAATCCTTTCTTTCTTTTCTTTCATTCTTTCTTTCCTTCCTTCTGTCCGTCCTTTCTTCCTTCCTTCCGTCCGTCCGTTCATTCATTCATTCATTCATTCAATCCTTTCTTCCTTTTCTTTCTTTCATTCTTTCTTTCCTTCCTTCCGTCCGACCGTCCGTCCATCCATTTATTCATTCATTCATTCATTTAATCCTTTCTTTCTTTCTTTCTTCCTTCCTTCTGTCCATCCTTCTGTCCATCCATCCATTCATCCATCCATCCATCCATCTATCCAACTATCCATCCATCCATCTATTCATTCATTCATTCATTCATTCATTCATTTATTCACTTATCACCCAACAAATATTACAAAAGTATTTCACATTTATAGTGTTGGTGATGTTGGTGCAATTAAATGTCATCATTGAATGTCATGATTTATGATCGTGCATAGGCTCCTGTTGGGACAGATTGTATCCTCCATAAATAGCTATGACATGGCATGAAAACAGTCTCAACATGCATTATCTCGAAATCCATCATGGTTTCCATCATGTTTAGTCACTCTTATATTTAATAACTGATAGCGGCGCTGAGCTCAGTTTCTATAAGCGGCATGAAAGCAAATGCTGCATCTTTCATTGAGTGAATGAGGAATGTAAATATGCTGTAATGTTTATCCAGACGGCTGACGGCGACACCTCGACTGCTGAAATAATAATAATATAGTAGCAGGACTGCAGTCACAGTCTGCCAAAGAGCTGGCAAAGCTATATTTACCTCATGAAGTCATGCAGTTTCTGTTTTACAAGATAAACCCGGGTTTTTCTAGCCAACTCAACTGATAGCAGTGAGTTTATGTGTTTAGGTGCCGGTTTGTGAGTACAGGAATGTACTGCTGTAAATGCTCAGACAGCTCACCTGTGTTGTTCAGGCTCATTGGAGATATGTGCCCAGGGCTACATTTTTGAGAACCAAGAAATATGTATCAGGAGCCACGTCTTTCTGCAGCTTTTGCTTTTATAAAGGGAAAACTGTGGCTTAGTGGTTAGCACTGTGACCTTACGGCAGGAAGGTCGCTGGTTCGATTCCTAGATGGGCCAGTTGTTATTTCTGAGTGTAGTTTGGATGTTCTTTCCATGTTGGCGTGGGTTTCCTCCGGGGCTCTGGTTTTCCCCACAGTCTAAACGCTTGCGCTATAAGGGAATTGATGAACTAAATTGGCTGTAGTGAAAGAGTGTGAATGTGAGAGTGTATGGGTGTTTCCCGGAATTGGGTTGCAGCTGCAAGGGCATCCACTGCGTAAAACATATGCTGGAATTGATTCCACTGTGGTAAATAAGCGACTAAGCTGAAGGAAAATGAATGAATGTTTTCACAAATCAACTAGAAGTTGCCAAGTATATTTTTAAACAATCTCAAACACGTTACTGGGCCATGATCAGTTTCAACTATGTTTATTTACCATTTTCCTGCATTTTTTGTTGTTGTTGTTGGTTAGGGATATGTTTGGTTTTAACTATGTTTAGTTACAATATTCTTGGTGTAAATTAGCATGTGGGAAGGGGGGGGGGGCGTCAATGGCTAGGGTTATGTATGGTTTCAACTACGTTTATTTACAGTTTTCTTGAGGTGGGTTTTCTTTTTTGGGGATTTGAGGGGGTGTTCGGGCTTTAGGGTCATATATTTTTTACTAAGATATTTATATTATTTTTTGTGGCGGGGGTTGGGGTTATGTATAGATCCAACTGTGTTTATTAAAAAACTTCTTGGAGTGTGTTTGCGTTTTTGTGTGTGTGTGTGTGTTATGGGGTCTCTGGGTTTTATGGCTGTATATGTACATGTGTTTTTATGTTATGTTGCGTATTTTTTACATCCCAAAGTCGACAGGTAGGGTTTGTGCTCAGCCTGTGTTTGCTCTGACAGTATGGACTCACCTGAGATGGCGGGACAGAGCGTACACTCGTTGATTCCCCAGGCCTTCCCGACACCCCTGCAGCACATCTCCTGACTGCGCAGACCCGGCAGAGGAGAACTGCACTGTGAGACAGAGCACAAACACATGTAGAAGAATATACAAGTTAAATGAAACCCAATCAATCAATCAATCAATCAATCAATCAATCAATCAATCAATCAATCAATCAATCAATCAATCAATCAATCAATCAATCAATCAATCAATCAATCAATCAATCAGTCAATCAATCAGTCAATCAATCAGTCAGTCAATCTATCTATCTATCTATCTATCTATCTATCTATCTATCTATCTATCTATCTATCTATCTATCTATCTATCTATCTATCTATCTATCTATCTATCTATCTATCTATCTATCTATCTATCTATCTATCTATCTATCTATCTATCTATCCATCTATCCATCCATCCATCCATCCATCTATCCATCCTTCTATCTACAGTATGATTATTTAAATAAAATTTAATAAATTAAAATTTAATAAATTAATATGAATTAATATGAATGTTAAATGAATGCTAATTATTTAATTTTTTCCATCAACCCCAACCCCCCAAAAAAATGTATTACTATCATCCGCTGTGAAAATCTAAAGTACAGCTTACTCTTTTCATCATTAACTTAAACAATAATGCATTTTAAGTAAATCAAAAAGTGCTTCAGGGGTAGTTAGTGAGCATTTCTCACAACACTGTTTACATTTGCACAGCAGAAAATGCATTAATCAAAACAATTAGTACCAACTGCAAAAGCCAGCTGATAACCTGCAAAAGCGCGTCACATGCTCAAAATGGAGAGTTCATTACTCAAAAGCAAGTATTGATGTCAATCAAAGTGTCATCATGAAGGAAAGTCCTGACACCATTGTTGATGAACAAGATAGTCAAATGTCTTTGTCATGTTTTTATTACATCAGTTTACTCTGTTAATTAATTTGTTAATTAAAATGTGAATAGTGTTGTGAGAAGTGCACCATAGTCACACCTGTCAACCCTCCCGTTTTTCCCGGGATTCTCCCATATTTTACAATTCTATCCCGCTTTTTTTCCCTGTATTTCTCCCATATTTTCAGTCTTTCTCTGAAGGTTGTCAAATAACATTAAAGAGTCGAGCATACCTTTACGCATGCCATACCGCCGAACCACCAGAGGCCGCCCCTTGCTCTTAAATGTGAGTCTGTTCTGTGCTTTCGCTTTGTTCAGGCACGAAAACACTTTGAAATAAATATAAAAACAGCGCGATTTCCTTTCCTTTTCATTACAGGTGCCGTCATCCCTCCTATGCGATCCTCAAAACAGTCATATAGAGGTGCACGACAGTCAGCTGACGCACTCCATAGTGATAAACAGAGGGTGCTTCCCCAAGCGGATTCAGTACTCGTGATTTGAAGCGGAGGGAAAGTCTGGGTTTTAGGTGCGTGTTTGAACAGACAAATACACATAATTAATAATAATAATATCTAAAGATGTTGATCTTGGTGAGCTTTTTTTTTCAAACAACTAATTTCGTCTTAAATGTCAATAAACAGTTAGAAAAGCAGTCGAATGCTTTCATTTCACTGTTAGATGTGTGCATTTTTAAAGTGACACCTGTTATTTAATGTAGTCAAACGAAAAACTCTAGATAAATAAGATTCATTCGTTGCTGTTTAATCAGAATGTGTTCGTTATAGAGTGAAGAAAAGGTTATTGAGATTTGATAGCTGAACTATTTGCTAATGTATTTGCTGCTTATGTATATATTTATTTTTTCTTCTGTAAATAATAATAATTAAACATAATACTGACCATTTAACTGTTTATTTACAATAAAACAGCTCCAAATTAACATATTTAAGGGGGGTGGCACGGCTATCCCTTATTATAGTGGGCATATCCCTTATTTTCACATCCCAATGTTGACAGGTATGACCAAAGCTACTGAAAAAAACTGTGATAAAGGCTTTAAAAAAAAAAAAAAAAACCTTTCGAGTGCATTTAATGCATTTAAATTTAGCTGCAAATGAGATGCACTTTAGCAACTAAAAAACTTTCAATTCAGTTCAGACTCATGCATATTTTTTTTTTATTTTAAATAAATAAACACTACAATAAAATGTAATCCTTTCTCTAAAAGGTATGCACTGCATTCATCTTACTTTATGTGCCTACTTTTACGTTTTGTCTCTTCTCTGACCTCGTTTGTGAAAACTCTTCAGCAACATGAGCAAATAAAAACTCGTGCAAGATGAACCTCTCCGGCCTCGTGTTCAGGCCTCAGGGAATCTGTCTCTGTAATAAGAGCACCGCAATCTGCTAAACAATCTGCAATAAACACACTTCAACACGGGCTAATACGCAGGGTGGTGACGGAAGTTGTTTTCGGTACACTGAGTAACCAACATTTGCAGCTCAGCATGATCACATCATTATATTTGACCATAAACAAGTCGTACTCAATTTACCCGGCATTATCCAGACTCGGATGAGGCTCATTTCTGTTCCAGCTGCAACCAAACCAGATGCTCTACTGCTAAAATATAAGGAAGGTTTGTAAGCGAACCTGTCCATTGCGGACTTCTCTGAAGCAGTATTTGAAGCCGGATGACTCTGTGTAGACTGAATCTCCACGTATGGTCTGGGCTTGAATGATGCGCGGTGGCGGCGCCTCAGATCTTTCTCCCGGTAACTGATGTGAACGTGCCCCAGAAAGACCCGCGGACCAGGTTACGGTTTCTGAGTGTTCGTGAACTGTTGGGCCGTAACCCACTTTCAGCACCTGGTGGATTTTCACACTGGCTTCTGGAGGATGCTGGACTCGAACCTTCACCATTGGGGAAACTGAAGGACAGAGACACCAATCAGACACAGAAACACACAATGAAGGCTTTCATCATGTAATCATCTCTGAAACAGCGTAATACTTGCTTTTTTATTCCCACTAGCAGATTAAGCGAGGTCAGAAAATGAACATGAGGATGGTTTGAAATTTATGATGACACTTTAGTGGAGGTAAACTATTGCCTGACTATTATTAAGATATTAACTGGTTATTAGCACTTATGAAGTACAGTGTGATCTTATGTTACATTCCTGATATCTACATTTACATTTAGTCATTAAGCAGAAGCTTGTATCCAAAGCGACTTACAAATGAGGACAAGGAAGCAATTTACACAACAATAAGAGCAACAATGAAGAAGTGCTCTAGGGAAGTTCCAGGTGTGTAAAGTGTAAGAAGCAAAGCATTAGTAATTTTTTTTTTTCTGTAGTACAGTTAGCGGTGGAGCCAGAGAGGCAATTGCAGATTAGGAAGGGAAGTGGAGACTAAATAGTTGAGTTTTTAGTCGTTTCTTGAAGACAGCGAGTGACTCTGCTGTTCTGATGCAGTTCGAGAGTTCATTCCACCAACTGGGCAGATTGAGCGTGAGAGTTCGGGAAAGTGATTTCTTCCCTCTTTGGGATGGGACCACGAGGCGACGTTCATTCACAGAACGCAAGTTTCTGGAGGGCACATAGATCTGCAGAAGTGAGAGCAGATAAGAAGGAGCAAAGCCAGAAATCGCTTTGTAAGCAAACATCAGAGCTTTGAATTTGATGCGAGCAGCAACTGGCAGCCAGTGCAAACGGATGAGCAGCGGAGTGACATGTGCTCTTTTAGCTTCATTAAAGACCACTCGTGCTGCTGCAAAAAATGCTTTTCTTGCTTAAATTTTTTTGTTTCTAGTCCATACATCTAAAAATTCCTAAATTAAGAAGAATTTTCTAGACAAGAAAAACATATTGTCGTGTTTTCAGAAATAATATGCCAATATTAAGTGAGTTTTTCCTTAAAACAAGTTAAAAAATCTGCCAATGGGGTCAGCAAAATTATCTTACGTCAAAAGAAAAAACAAGATTAATTTGCTCACCCCATTGGCAGATTATTTTGTTTGTTTTAAGGAAAAACTCACTTAATATTGGCATATAATTTCTCAAAACAAGATAATATGTTTTGCTTGTCTAGAAAATGCTTCTTGATATAAGACATTTTAGATATTTAGACTAGAAACAAGACAAAAAATCTAAGCAAGAAAAGCATTTTTGCAGTGCGCTGCTGCGTTCTGGAGCATCTGAAGAGGTTTGACAGAGTTAGCTGGAAGCTCGGCTAGTAGAGAGTTGCAATAGTCCAGTCTGGAGAGAACAAGAGCTTGGACAAGGAGTTGAGCTGCATGTTCAGATAGAAAGTGTCGGATCTTTCTGATGTTGTAGAGATTTGGGATGTGGTAAAACGGGAGATTGGCATCATGGATGTGCAGCCGACAAATCTGCAGCAACTGTGTGATGCTATCATGTCAATATGGAGCAAAATCTCTGAGGAATATTTCCTGTAGCTTGTTGAATCTCTGCAACGAATGATTAAGGCAGATCTGAAGGCAAAAGGGGGTCCAACCAGGTACTAGTAAGGTGTACCTAATAAAGTGGCCGGTGAGTGTATATAGATTTGTCCTTTTTCAACTGAATGGAGGTTTAACTGTAACATCAGTGTTATTGAACTGAACTGAATCAACAATGACTAAAACTGAATAATTACACTATTGTCTTCTGCAAAGACGAATGGTAACAGTTTCCAAATTGATGATCTTTTCCAAATTAACAGTTATTATCAAGTTTGATGTTTTGTCAAGTGAAGCTGCTTCAAGTCTGTATTATAGGAAAAGAAAGTATGATTAAAAAAATATACCATATTTTTGGACTGATTATGTCTGTGCTGTGGTACACTGCATTATAAAGCATTTAATGCATGATAAAATTGAATGATAAAGTATTTATAAGTCGCATCTGCTAAATAACTAAATGAAGTAAAAACAACAAACAAACAAAAAACAGATTGACATTAAAATAATAGTGGAATTAAACATGGAAATACAAAAACACAGACCTATGTTTGTCTATTTGTGTTGGTAAATGAAAGATGCATGCTGTCCAGGAGGGTTTTATTCCTGTGCAACATGCCTGTAATCATTGCAAATTATTACCTTTCACCCTAAAACTTTCCCTTTACTGTATAGTTCTGAATTTAAAACGACATTTACACACACAGAGGACAGATCAATAAAAGTTGCATGGTTTTAATGCATGTAGCGTCTCTCACACGAACAGACTGAGAGTCCAGAAATAACAGCGGCAGAACGACTAGCTGGGATCTCTACAAACAGAGCCCTCATTCTCCAGAAACGTGTTCGAGCTGTGAGTCACCATTATACCTCCAGCCTTTCACAGATTAAACTTGGCAAAAGCCCTGTCCAGATTCCCTCCGAGAGAAACCCCTCCTCGCCTAACATGCAGTAAACACAGCGCCAGTGCTTTTCCAGTCCTCTGTGTTTTATAAAAGATGATCTGAGGTCTGAAGACAATGCAGAAATGTCTGTGAGATAATAAAGGGCTGGAAAAGATGGCTCTTGTTTGTTTGGACGAACCCCATCTGGAACATCAGGTTCAGTTCGGGATTCGGAGTGTTACACAACAGCGTTTAGCACTCATAACCCTAATCCAACTTACTGATGATTACACAATAAGACTGCTTTTAGTCTTCTTGGGAAACGCTGCGGGGTTATACTGGCACCTTGCACCAAAAATCAGAGTAAAACAATAATAATTCAAATGGGTGGCAGCACTGTCGCCTCAAAGCAAGTACTGTTGGGTCAGTTGGCATTTCTGTGTGGAGTTTGCATGCTTTTCTCGCGTTGGTGTTTCCCACACAGTCCAAACACATGCGCTATAGGGAAATTAAATAAGCTAAATTGTGCATAGTGTATGAGTGTATGAGTGTTTGTGTGAATGAGTGTGAATAGATGTTTTCCAGTACTGCATTGCAGCTGGACTATACTACAACTAATAATAACTATAATAATAATAATAATAATAATAATAATAATAATAATAATAATAATAATAATAATAATAAATACTACAACTAATAATAATGATAATAATAAAAATAATAATAATAACTATAATAATAATAATAATAATAATAATAATAATAAATACTACAACTTATAATAATGATAATAATAATGAAAATAATAATATTAACTATAATAATAATAATAATTAAAAACAACAGTATTATTATTATTATTATTATTATTATTATTAATAATAATAATAACAACGACGACGACGACAATAATAATAATGATGATGATGATGATGATGATAAAAAATGATAATAATAATGATGATGATGATGATGATGATGATAAAAAATGATAATAATAATGATGATGATGATGATGATAATAATAATGATGATGATGATGATGATAATGATGATGATAAAAAAAAAATAATAATAATAATAATAATAATAATAATAATGATGATGATGATGATGATGATGATGATGATGATGATGATGATGAGCAAGTCCAGGGATAGGGGTGATAATAATGATGATGATGATGATGATGATGATGATGATGATGATGATAATGATGATGATGATGATAATGATGATAAATATTAATAATAATAATAATGATGATAATGATGATGATAAATAATAATAATAATAATAATAATAATAATAATGATGATGATGATGATGATGATAATGATGATAAATATTAATAATAATAATAATAATGATGATGATGATGATGATGATGATGATAAATAATAATAATAATAATGATGATGATGATGATGATGATAAATAATAATAATAATAATAATAATGATGATGATGATGATAAATAATAATAATAATAATAATAATAATAATAATGATGATGATGATGACGATGATGATAAATAATAATGATGATGATAATAATAATAATGGTAATAATAATGATGATAACTGACGATGATGATGATGATGATGGTGATGACATCAATAATAATAATACTAATAATACTAATAATAATCATAATCACGACGATGACGATGATGACCACCAATCATACTAATCATAATGATGA